AGCATGATTTGTAGATCATGCACCCCATAGTTCTAGTGTAAATGGAGGCTTTCATTCTATTATAAAACATCAGGAAATCATACAGCAAAACATTATACTTACTTTGTTCTTTGTATTCTTTTGTTCCGAATTCGAAGTGTTGTTAAAGACGGAGTATTCAACCAGAGTCATCCCCAAAGAGAGATTCCTCCGAGTTCTTACGGCCCAGGCTAACTTTATTACATTCTTGCTTTATATTTACTTGATTTCATTACTAATTGTTGTTGCTTTATACTTATCTCTAACAAATCAATTCATGTACACTTAGCTATCTTATTAATCAGATCAATGTGTCCATAAACTACATTTACAAATTCAACTATACCTTTTTGGGGTAAACAATTTGACACCCGCCGTGGAGTATAAATAATTGTGGTGTTAATTTGATCTGCTCGTCTTTTACTAATGTGCTTTGAAGTTTTTCTGTTGCAAGCATAAAATAGCTATGGTAAATAATGATGTCAACAACTTGCTCAATGTTAGAGCAAACAACAACAACAACAAGCATGTGGATAATTTTCATGATGGAACTCAATAGGATGACTCAACTAGTGAAATCCATATTAACGAGAATGAGTCAACCACGAACCGGGTAGAAAAATATACTCGACATGCGAGGAGTCCTACCCCTGATAATTTGGATGACGAACCCGTTGCCAATACTGTAAAAGTTTTGAGAGCACAACAAAGGGAGATCATAAATTATCTCTCAAGACAGGACTGGATAATGACTGAGCTCCAACAAGCGTTATCGGTGGCTTTAAATAATTCAAATGACGGATCTCGAGCCTCTCCTGGCATGCTAATAAATCAAATAGCTCCAAGAACCCATAATGTCGCTTCATGGAAAGAGTTGAGATCGAATAACTACCAAGCAGGTGGTGCAGGCAGTGGATCTGGAAATGAAAATAATGCAGACGGTCCTCTTAAGACCGAGCTCATGAGGTGTATGAGAGAAATAAACGTTCGAATGGATTAAAATACAAAACAGTTTCACGCTCGGATGGATCAAATCCCGAGGGCACCTCTGGTCTTAAAAGGCCCAGACTCAAAGAAGCTTATACAATTGTCGTTCAAACTTAGCGCGGTCCGAAGTTGATCCCAAAGAGAATCAAGATGTCGTATATTCCAAAGTATGGTGGAACATCGGATTCACATGAACATATTACAACTTACACTAGAGCTGTAAAAGAAAACGATTTGGCTCCACATGAGATTGAATCAGTCTTATTAAAATAAATTGGCTAAACCCTAACAAAAGGGGCTTTAATATGGTACTCACTTTTACTTGAACACTCAATTAATTCTTTTGAAATACTTGTAGATTCTTTTATCAAGGTACATGCCGGAGCAAAAAAGTGTTAATAAGGAAAGCGGATATGTTCAAAATAGCCTAGGCTGCGGGAGTTCGTGATAAGGATCCAAAAGGAACGCATGTTGTTGTCTGTAATATCGGATGAATGGGCAGCGGAGGCTTTCACCAAGGGTCTAATTCCTTTAAGTTCGGATTCCTCGCACAAACTCAAGGAAAACCTGCTAGAGTTCCCCTCAACAACGTGAAAAGATGTTCACAACGGGTACGAGTCAAAAATTCTCGTAGAATATGAGCAGGTAATTATATCGACAGTTTCTACTGCTGGGAATCAAGGTCAACCGAACTTTGATTGGAGGCATTCCAGACACCGATTTGAACCATACCCATTAGGATCACGGACTGAGAGGAGGCAGGAGTGTTCCCATAGTGAGTATCTAGAAAATAACTTTGATGAAGGACAATAATGTCTACAAACTCTAGGGACTGTTGCATCAAAGCAGCAGAAACCACAACAATAAGTACCGGAAGCATCTGAAGATGGCTTCGGAACAGTGACAAAAAAATACTATGCCTAAAACTATTATACTCGTACAGGATACCGGAGATAGCCTGAACTAGCTTCGGAATAAAGAAAAGGACTGGGGACTGCTAGATCAGCCCCGAAAAAAATAATAGAAGGAATTGAAATCAAGAACCAGCTAGATCTAATACATGTCTGTTCGTCCGCAATTCTCTTACAATGTATTTTGGTTCATTTCCAGTAAACTGTTGTATATGCAAAGTGTAAATACTTGGGTACGTTCAAGGAATAGAATGAAGCAAAACTTGCACCTTCTAAAATATTCTCGTATATGTCTCAATGAAAATAATCATTCCTAAAATTTTCTCACACTTAAAAGCAAATAAAGATTACGAATTCGAACAATTATGCCCAGATGAACATGAGACGTCCTCTTCATAAGCATTGCATTCATAAAGGCCATCTCTTATGAAGCCATCCAATCAAATGGCTAAAGTTCGGATGCCTTGTTTTCCGATTGTAAAGTTAACCAGATGCATTAAATTCCCTGACTTTATCAAAATCAGAAGTACCAAATTTCTGGTCATTAACATTCCCGGTCTCTAAAGCTGTGAGGTTATGAAATTTTTGGGTACAACTAAAAACCCAAGAGTCAAAATTCAAAGAAAGATTTCGGGTACAACTAAAAACTCAAGACTCAAAACTCAAAGATTAAAAGTTTTGGGGGAACACTAAAAACCTGAGATCAAGCTTTCTATGGTGGTGGTACTTTTTCAGCACCAACCGGTCATTGACGAAAGAAAAATAAGTGGCGGAGTTGTCATCTGAATCCCTAAGCTCTGCACTCTTTTTTCCTTCGCCTGATTTTTGTCTCGATTGGGTTTTTTCGGTAAGGTTTTTAATGAGGCAGTGGCGAGGGTGGAAAAAATAAAACCTTCCACTTCCGGTTACATCACAGTGAGTAACCGAAAAGTGGGGGGACTATATGTATACAATAAAAATCAGTCTCAAAAGTTGGGTGAATTGGGAAGCTACACATGTCAAGGATGACCAGTCAGTGGTGACTCAACCATGATGATACCGGATACAAACCTTTGGCCTAATAAGAAATAATTCAAGATATGACCGTTACAGAAACGTTACAGAAGATCCCACGATTCTACTGGCCTTTATTAGGCTATATTATCTGTTAATATTCTTTATCACCTTTTTAGTACCTTTTATTGCACCATTAATATTGGTAATTAAATGAGCATGATTTGTGGATCATGCACCCCATAGCTCTACTATAAGGTTTTCATTCTATTGTAAGACATCAGGATATCATATAGCAAACTATCATACTTAACTTTGTTGGCGAAATACATAAACGGCCCCTTTAAGTTGTCCTCAACGATTAGACAGACACCTCAACTGACCCCTTTATCATTTAGACACTTTAAGTGGCTACTAAGTATATCAAATAAGCACCCGAGTGCAGCAGACCATATGCGCGAGTTACACTTGCCAATAACGTGTCGTATGAATCAATTAAAAATGACATGTATAATTTATAATAAAAAAAAATTATACGTGTAATTAACAATAAATAGACATTGAAAGAAAAGACTTCTTCCTTAGTTTCAACTAAACCAAGGCGGGCGAATTCTGATATCGGGTCGGATTTAGGAGAGGCTTGCTCGGGGAAACGAAGTGGTGAAGGAACTTGATGATGGATATGAGAAAGGCAATGAAGAAGGAGTCGTCGTCGTCGAAGTCAGTGGTGGAGATGGCCCGGGGGAGGAGCGAATCGGCTTGAGGCACTAAAGAATTGAACCGTTTCGAAACGGAGCGACACTGGATTAGGTTTTTGATGTCGGAGATTTGGTTGAAGATTAGGTGTATAAGCGGGTCGGGTAACCGATCAAACTCGTCGGAGTATCCAATTTGAACTCCATTAGCGGTTGTAAAATTATTTATTCTTCTGAAAACAGGAGAAAAGTCTGATAAAAGCCTCACGCACCCAAATATAACTAAAATACACGTAATTTGCCATGTCAATGTGAGGTGTCTACTTGATACACTTAATACCCACTTGAAGTAACTAAATGGTAAAGGGGTTAGTTGAGATGTCTATCTAATCGTTGAGAACGACTTAAAGAGACTGTTTTATGTATTTCGCCTACTTTGTTTTCTATATTCTTTTATTCCGGATTTGAAGTGTTCTTAAAGGCTGAGTATTCAACCGGAGTCATCCCCATAGAGAGATTCCTCCTAGTTCTTATGGCCCAGGCTAACTTTATTATATTCTTGCTTTATATTTACTTGATTCCATTACTAATTGTTGTTACTTTATACTTATTTATAACAAATCAATTCACGTATCCTTAGTTATATCAATTTAATCCACGTATCTATAAACCACTTTCGCAAATTCAACTGTAACTTTTTGGGGTAAACACTTAATATTGAAGAACGCTTACTGCTAAAAGATCTGTTGACAAACAACAGCATAGAAGATTCAAACTTGTTGCTATGTCTCTAATAGAGATGAAAATTCCAAGAGTAGAGATTATAGACCATTAGTAGTCCTTTATATTTCTACCCAATTTGGAGTATCATCATAGATTTGGATCAGCAGTTCTTTTTGGGATCAGCTTTATAGTAATTATTGTGTTCTGAACAGCCTCCTTCCAGGATTCTTTTCTTGAATAGAACGAGACTATAAGGGAGCGTTTTGTTACAGGGATTAGGGGTTATCCCAGCAATATAATTTTGGATTAAATTTGTCCAGTGTTTAGTTGTGGATATTAGCTAAAACCAGCATAAGATTTATATTAAAATCATGAGATTATCTATTCCAAGTGGAAGGTAGGATTATCCATCCTAGTTATAATCACCCTGATTTTAAACCAAACGACCCCTTTAAGAGTAATTTGAGGTCCCGAAGTACACTAGTACTCACCTTGCTGGATAATGCAGCTATCAGAGGGAAATCTACCAAACAATCCCTTAAAAGCTGTTTTTCTATGGGCTCACCCTATTTCTGTGGCTTTCTGAACTCCCTTTATGCACTACGATAATAGCTTTGAGTCCATTCATTTATGTAATGTCATTTTTTATTAGTGTAGTGTCCAACATTCAGCATCAACATAAACATTTTCACAATGCATTACATCATATACTCTGACTGGAGAATCAGATTGAACATGATACATCAAAATCAATATTTACAAAGAATGATTAACATCACATAGATGGCCAGCACAATGATGCACTGCATCGAGCAAGAACCTTCTCTTTATACACCTAAAAGCATCATCATTAAACTCAATGTGACAGTGAAAAAGGGAGAAAAAGAAAAGAGTTAGGCTCAAGGAGAATGACAACGAAGAACATTGGTCTTTAATGGATTTTGTAGAACTGCCAGCATATTGCACAGAGCAAACGTATGTATACTTTTGGACTACTTCATTGGTTCAGTCGCTAAGTTCACCTGAAAAGCACAAGCAAATCCACATTAAGCATAGTGCCAATAATTTCAGCACTTGCTTAAAAAACAAATGATAGTATATTGCAGAAATTCAACTTGGAAAAATCTAACACCGGTACCATGACAACTGATTACGGCAATACAAAACTAATTTTGATTGCTTATTATCTCTCACAGACGTCAAAAGTCACACTTGATTCAAGTTAAGCTAACACTACTTTCACGATATGATATCCATAGTCCAATTCTTCTTGTTCTGGAGTCTAACATTACTTGTTCTGCAATCAACCATCCTCCCTCGTCCATATCTTTAATATAGTTTCTAATAAACAGATAAGACCAAATTATGTAACAACTATCATCATTTTATCCCTCTCATTTCTCAGTGTTTTATCACAAGATATGATAATAATACTTCATTTAGATTTGAAGCAAAAATCATCAGTGTACACAGAAAGCTATTCATATTTCTAGTTCATTTCTTCTTGTTCTGGAGTATTAGATTACTTATTCTTGCAATCAACCATCCTCCCTCGTCCATATCTTTAATATAGCTTCTAATAAATAGATAAGACCAAATTACATAACAACTTCATCATTTTATCCCTCTCAGCTCTCAGTGTTTTATCACAAGATACGATAAGAATACTTCATTAAGATTTGAAGCAAAATCATCAGTGTACACTGACAGCGGTTCATGTTTCTATTAAAGGTTACACCAACACTCATTCTAGACATTCTAGATAGAGTTGAAATATCAACTTCACTGACCTCATCGATGAGCAGTCTGGTTGGCCCAGTATCAATACACTTGAGAAAGATGCTCAATCTATCCACAGCTTTTAAATGAAGATTTCATCCAAAATCTCTGCAATT